AAAATTATCCTAATAATTCACAAAATTCATTAAAATTACTCCCTATACACAATGCACATGCCAAAACATCATCACTCAACCATTTGTAACCATAATCATCCATCAACAAGGGTTCAATAACAATCTAAACAACTTTTTCAAAATTTTTCAAAATAGCAATTTACAAATTTAAATAATTAATAATCCATCAATTGTTATAATTTAACATGTAAACATGCTTAGACAATCATAATAAACATATTGGAAACCAAAAATATCCATAATATTCATCAAAATTTCGAAATTAGAAGATGTCAAAAATTTCAGAAAATTGAAAAATATCAACATCTAAAATTCAAAGAATTGATGAAGAAATATACCTCAATCACATAGAAGGATATTTGGAGATGACGACTATGCAAAAAGCCCTATAAAATTCACTCCAATTGACCTCCAATTGAAGAAATTGCAAATTAAGAACCCTAACCCCAAATCTCTTAAAAACCGATTTTTAGTTATTTTTCTTGAATTTCAATTGGTTAGAAAGGCTATAAGATGATCAAAAGGTGTTAGGTTGCTGTTTTCTAGCAAGAAAATGAAGTAAAAGTGAAGATTTGTGAATTGGTGTGTATGTGTGACTTGAGGAAAACGCGACTGTGGGAAGAAGAAGAAGAAGAAGGAAAATGAAGAAGAATAAACGCATATAGGGTTTAAAACGATGGAAGAAAACATAACTACACAATAAGCGACTACATGTCGCATTTTCCTAATCGCGTTTTCTTCACAATTGTTGCAGGATTGAAAACGTGACTTCGTCAATATGCGACTACATGTTGCGTATTGTAGTCGCATTTTCTTGTATGATTTTACAGACATGAATAAGCGACTTTAGAGAAAACACGACTTTGAGCCACATATTTCAAGTCACATTTTATGCAAGAAACGCGCAGAAATGAATACGCGGTTAATGGCATACACAACATATAGTCGCATTTTTCTGATTCTTGCATATTATTCTGCAATTTTTGCAGAAATGTCAAGTTTCGAAAATTATGCATTCAACCCCAAATACTTCCAATGCAGTCTAGAACATTCTTTTGCCAAATTTATCTTTGCATGCACATGTAAAATGATCGAAACACTAATTTTATCCCTTTTAACGGATCGAGAACACCTTTAACACAAATCGAGGGGTTGAATTTCTCAATCAAACTTCACCTTTTCCACCTCAAATGGTCACCTTTGCTTTCTTCGGCTGAACCTATAATACAAAAACAACAAATTAACTTAACTACATGTTTTAAATACAAAATCATACTAAATTAACATATGTAACATAAACATTAGGTTGCCTCCCAATTAGCGCTTTCATTTATAATCGTTGGTTCAACTCAAAAGATTTTGCTTTTTTTTGGACATTGGGAAGTCATTTTCTCCCCACGGATCAAAACTCTCGAGCCATTCCACTGTGTGATGAGCCATGCATTTATCTTCATCATCCAACTTCCTCAAATGCCAAGGAGGAGTGTTAGACTTGTCATATAAAGGTTCAACTGCACCTTGAAGTAGAATTTGCTCGCCCTTTTCGAGTTGGCTCAACTTTTCACCTATTCTTTCATGGAATGGTGAACTTATTAAGCCAACTTCAGTCCTTAACCTTGCTTCCCTTGCTCTTATACCATAAAAAATAGTACCAAGAAAATTTATAGATTTGACTTCTTCGTTCATTTCCTGGTTCACCCTTTCATTACGTGGCATATTAGAAACAAGACCAATAGGCTCTATACTTCCATCTTTATTGATCAAATTAAATTCCAATTCCTCACCATTAACCATAAATATAAGCTTACCTTTTTCTACATCAATTATAGTTCGTGCAATGGCTAAAAATGGTCTTCCTAAAATAATTGGCATTTTCACATCTTCCTCCATATCTAAGACAATCAAATCTACAGGTATAATATATTGCCTTACACTTATGAGTACATTTTCTAAAATACTAATTGGATATGTAATTGACCGATCCGCCAACTACAATATAATATTGATAGCTTTCAACTCTTGAAGTTCCAACCTTCGGGCAATAGATAGTGGCATAAGGGACACACTTGCACCTAAATCACACATTAGAAAAATATAACTAACCATTAGTGCAAGATACAGAAAAGCTTCTAAGATCTTTCAATTTATGAGGGAGTTTGTTCGTAATCAATGCTTCTAAGATCTTTCAATTTATAAGGGAGTTTGTTCGTAATCAATGCACTACATTCTTTCGTTAACGTTATCATTTCATTATTCATAATTTTTCTCTTCTTTGACATGATATCTTTTAAGAAACGAGCATAAGAAGAAATCTGTGTAATAGCATCAATGAAAAGAATATTAATGTGTAATTGTTTAAAAATTTTGAAAAACTTGTCAAACTCCCGATCCTTTCCATTTTTCTTCAACCCGTGAGGAAAAAGAATCGCATTAGAATTTAAATTAGGAGAAGGTACATGAATATCAATGATAACATGATCATTTTGACTTTCTCTCTTTCCTTCAATTGCTTGCTCCTTATCTTTTTCACTACTTGAATTGCCAAAGTTAGGTCCCTCAAACACTTTACCACTTTTAAGAGTGATAGCATTAACATGCTCTCTCGAGTTGACTTCAGTTTTATTCAACAATTCTCCAGGGTTTCTGTTGTTGATTGAATTGACAATTTAACTAATTTGAATCTCCATATTTCTATACATTCTAGTCAATTGGTCCAACCACCCCTCAATTCATTCAAATCTCTCTGAAGTACCCTTCACTAACTTCTCCACCACTATCTACCAATCCAGTTTAATATTCGCCTGAGGTTGCCTTGATTGGAATCCAGGCGGATTGGTCGGTCTTTAAGAGTTGGCTTGCTCTTTTCACCTAAATTTTGGATGATTTCTCCAACTCGGATTGTATGTATTTGAGTATAGGTTGTTTTGAACATTCCTATTATAATTATTGACAAATTAAGCCTGCTCAAGATCAACACACTATTATTATCATGTTCTCCTCCACATAAAGAACAACTAGTAACTTCACTACAAGAAATTGGCCTTTTGTGACAACATTCTCTATGACAAGAGAGAAAGTTGTCACAATTGAAAACTTTAGTGACGACCTTTAATCTCGTCATACTTGATCGTGGGTTCACCTGTCAACAGTGACAACACGGAATAAGTCGTCACAATATGGATAGCGCGCAACTATCCAGTATGGCGGGAGATCACCATTGTGATGACTGGAAAACATGTTGTCACTGAAACTAGTCGTACAGTGACAACTTGGAATATCATCACAATATGGTTGCCAATTCTAAATTAGTGACAACAACTAGTCGTCACTGTCCAAAGCATTGATTCCCATCTCAATTTCACTAATTCTACTATGTCACCCTAATTTTTTCAATATGGCCCATATATTGTAAATAAATTTTATTAATTCTACTATGACACTCTAACTTTTACATTTTGACCCCATATACCACCTTAATTTTTTTAATATGCCCCATGTGCTGTAAATAAATTTTATTAATTTTACTATGACACCCTAAATTTTACATTTTAACCCCATATACCACCTTAATTTTTTCAATATAGCCCATGTGTTGTAAATAAATTTTATTAATTCTACTATGACACCCTAACTTTTACATGTTAACGTTAACCCCATATACCACCGTAATTTTTTCTATATGGCCCATATGCTGCAAGTAAAATTAATTAATTATGTTATGACACACGAACTTTTATATTTTAGCTCCTTATTTGGTAAACTAATCTCATTAACTCTACCATGATACCTTATCTTTTGCAATTTAGCCATGTATGTGATAAAGAAAGGTTTTGTTAATTCTATTATGGCACCCTATGTTTTTACATTTTAGGTTGTGTTTATCATTAGTGAAATGAGGAAGGTATTGTAAAAAATAATATTTACCTATTTTTTAATTATTCCAAACATAGCTAATACCTTATTATAAAGTTAAAAAAATATCATGAATTCATTATTTAATTCTTTTGACAACATATGGGAAATTACTGATTAACATAGTTTGAAAATAATGGAAGAGAATAATAAAATTTAATATGAAATTAAGTAAAAATCTTGACAATTCCATGACTGAAATTTGTTATGTATTACAATTTACAGTAATCAAATTGTTTATAGTTTATGAATCAGTACATGTGTCAAATAGATTTAGTGTTTCATGCATGTATTAGTAAACCATTTTGGTTATTTGATCAACTAGTTTATTATTAACTAGTAAACCAATTGGATGACTGGAGTATATTATTAATTACATAGCCACATTGTTTATGGTTTATGAATCGGTGCTTGTACCAAAAACATTTAGTGTGTCACGCATGTATTAGCAAACTATTTTGGTTATTTGATCAACTAAACAGTATTGTTAGGTCTTGTCAAACCATAATTCGTACATAATTAATAAAATTATTAAATTAATACCAAAAATATTTACATCGAAAGATTTTTTTGAATCATAAACATATTTTTAATAAGCTTTTTAGTTTTTGGACATTAATTTTTTGTAGAGATAAAAAAAACCTGTGTTAGTAAACAACATTATCAAAAAACACTAAATTTTCATATTCTAAAGTTTTAATGCAACAAATAAAGTTTTAATAGAACTTATGAGCTAAAAACTCAAATTAATAAACAACTTTAATTACACAAAGATAGAGAAAAGAAAAAGAGATATACTAGAGAAGGCGTTGTTTTTGTAAAGAAAGGTCCAAATAGTTAGTACAAAAGTCACTTGAAAGCGTTATTTTTTGGCTGAAGCTAAAATGGAAGTGGGAAGCTCAAAATTGGAGTAGAGGCGGGGGAAGCTGAAATTTGGAGTACCGGCGGGGGAAGCTAAAATTGAACAAAATTGAACGAGTAGAGATGGGTAAACAAAAGAAGTAGAAACGACGTCATTTTAGCAAGAGTTAAACAAAAACACCTATAACACTTGGAAAAATTTCGGACATCATTTTAGCAAGACGTTCATCGCGACATCTCCAAGAACTCTCGCCAACCCTACGCTGTCTCTAGGTCCGCCGGCCACCAGACATGCATCGAGTCTTGGGGTGCTTGTCTCGCTGTTTCCCGTATCTCTCGTGTTCCTGGCGGTGGCACTCACTGTGCTGGCCAGGGTGCCTATGGCAACATGTGCTGCGGCGACCGCATGTTTGCTCCGACCAAGATCTGGCACCGTTGGCACCGCAGGTCCCAGTTAACAAGAAATGGTATGCCGTGGTTTCTGCCATCGCCGCCTCTGCAGTGCCTTCCCTTGTCATGGCCCGCAGCCACCGGATCGAGTCTGTCCTGCAAATCCCCTGTGTGATCTCCGATTCTGCTGAGGCCATGGAGAAAACCTCCAATGCTATCAGTCTTCTCAAGAAAATTGGGGCTTACCTTGATGCTGAGAAGGCTAAGGACAGCTAGGCTATCCGCCCAGGAAAGGGTAAGATGTGTAACAGCCACTACATCTGCAGGAAAGTCCTCTGGTTGTGTATGGTATTGAGGGGGCTAAGCTCGTGAAGGCCTTTCGCAACATTCCTGGAGTCGATATGGCCCATGTGGACCAATTGAATTTGTTGAAACTTGCCCTGGGAGATCACATTAGGAGGTTTATTGTTTGGACGAAATCAGCATTTGAGAAATTGGATGAGATTTACAGGTCATTTGATAGAGGATTAAAGCAGTCATCTGGTAAACTTGAGATATTAAAGCATTTCTATAATCTTAAGATATTAACTATATTTGTCAGGCTGCTATTTGAGCTGCAAATTTCTTTTGCATCTGTTACATAGAAACTTTCTTCAAGTGAAGAACATTTAACTATTGAACTTTGATAAAGATATGAGTAGGATAAGGGCGAATATATACATCAACACTGAAAAGCCGGTATTCATTGCATGCAGTCTTCTGGCATCTTAATTTCCATGCCTTGATTGTTAAAATAGTTTGGTTTTACTCTTCTTGCGTTGTTATTAAGATAGTTTGGTTTTACTCTTCTTGTATTGTTGTTAAGTGGTTAAGTCTATGGCAACCTAGAGATTCTTATGTTATATCTATAGCAAATCCCCGTGTTGGCCACTCTATGCAGAAAAGATAGTTTCCATGAAAGTACAAGTTGTGTGCTTTGACTCTTTAGAGGATTGATTGGGACTTGAAATAATGGACATGATGTGTATTAGCGTTCTGCATATGCAACAGTGCTCATAAGCTGTTTTATTACTTTGAATCTGATACAATTGGCTGCCAATTATGCTTCTAAATGGCATTCTATTAGCTCGTATCCATTATGTGTAACATTCTTTTGCAATTTGTGGTGGCTGCCTATGGTTCTCATCAATTTTGTTGGCCTGGGTTATAAATGAATGATGGGGCTCAAATCTTTCCTTGTCGAAACTGCTATAGTTATTATGATTTTCTTCTATATTTGTTCAAGGAGTTGACATGTAAAATTTTTTTTAAAAAGGTGTTGACATGTATGATGAATCTTGTTAACGGATGCTGAGGAAGTTAAGTAAACAGCTGAATGGTGAGGATTGGATGTGGAACAACCTAAATACCTTGTGCTGGGCAATAGGATCTATATTAGGATCAATGATCGAGGAACAAGTGTATTGCTTTATGCTGTATATTTTTCCTGTTTTTTTAGTCTGTCTTCGCTGAGTGACTATTTTCTGGCTTCTTTCTACTTAGAATGAGACCTTGTGTTTGGATAACTTTCAGTTTTGTGGTTCTTTTTCTTTTTCACCATTTTCTTACTTTTATTTTTTTGCATCAACTGTGGCAGGAAAACAGATTTCTTGTGATGGTGATACGTGATTTGTTAAACCTTTGTGAGATTACAAAAGGCAAAGACAACAAAGCAGTTATTGCAAGTAATATAATGTGAGATGTTAAACTGCATTTTCATTCTGATAGAGTAGGTAGCAGTAACTAGGCATTCTTATGTGATAACTTTATCTCAGTTAACTATTTGCAAATGAAATTTATTTAGGCAAATGACCGTGAACTCCAGTTTTCCGTGGTTGATGGTGTTTTCAAGAAGTTTGAAGGAAAATGGTCTGTCAAATCTGGTAAAAGGTAAATTCTGGTGTAACATATTTTGCATCTCCTTCCTGGTGATGTGTGTTTCTGAGGATGATTAAAGACTCAAGTATCATTTGGTTCTTAACATTTTTGGCAATCCATGCTGGTTATCCATCTCAACTATTGCATGAAAATGTAGCCTCTTTAGTTTTGGAGTCTTTATTCAACTAAAATGATATTGTTTACCTTTACATAGCACTGGTAAACATCTTTAGTGCCGAGACTATTGTCTACTGCTTTAATGCCTAAAGGAGTCAGATTTTGTCTACAGCCAAAGTGCATTTCCAAATAATGTTGGACATTTTTAGACTAACTCGAGGCACTAAATAGTTATAATATTATTAAAGCAATGCCTAGTTTTAATTGTACATAGTTTTAATTGCAGAAAATGATGTAAAAAATTTAATAACTGGATTTGTCAAACATTTGAGGTTGTAAGGGTATTTTCTTTTTTGCTTTCAGATAGTCTAAGTAATCAATGGTTGAATGTTCTTGCACTTGATTAATTTTGTTGCAGAAACTCTCTACTTTGCAATGATGTCTACTATTTTCTAACATTTTTTAGTTTGACAATGGCAGTAGTAGCATAAAAGAGTACCATGTTCGAGGCTTTGCAGTTTCCCCCTGATTCTTGCGTTAGTCAAATCAGATCTGTCAAAATCTTCATCAAGTTTTATCAATCTGCTATATTGAGAAGAATCAAAGTTGTGATGATTAACAAGGATCTTGACAAGTAACAAAATTCTAGGACTTCTTTTTGTGTGCCTAAGATGTTGTCAAATTTAATTGTTTGATGGTCATATTTTGATCAGCTATTGATTTGTTAAATTAAGTGGTGTTTATTAGATCAGCTATTAAATTAGGTGGAGTTCAAGGATGAACACTATCACACACATGAGTTTTCTTGATGAATGGATTCACCTTGTCAAATTTATCTTTTTGAAACTGGTTGGTTCCTTGAACTTTGTGACTGTTTAGCTTTTCAAATTGTAGAAAACCTATGATCTAGACCTTAGTTTCTGTGCCCTTCTGACCCTAGGAATCCATATTCCAGTTTCCTTATCCTGCATCGAGCCTCCAATGATGAAGAGTCTAGCTATAAAATTGATAAACGCCTATAAAGTATATATTTTCCATTATATAAGCAGCGAATGTCCTAATAATTGGAGTTAGATTTTGGAAGAAATAACAGCATTTTTAGAGGTGGGGACACCTAGGAAAATTTGTGTGTTATTATCTAGAAGTAGTCCCATTCCTCAAGGTCTGAGTAAAGCAAGTTAAAGTAGCGACATGTACTGCTTTTTCATGCTTAATATAAGTCGTACAGGAAGACATTTTTATTCGGCCGAAGTTGGTTGCTAATCGGTAGTTCAAGACTTTGGCACTTAGATTACACTTTTTCTAGAGGGAATGGAATGGATCTTGTTTTCGGCTTCAATTAAATAGAAAAGAGCGCTGTCTTCGAGGTCATAGATGAGAGCTGACAAGATAGAAAATGGAACTATATTATGAATCAAGATGAGAAACTATTGTTTGTACTTTCAACTTCCTTAGTGGGAGATGTTTGTGATAAAAATCATAGAGCCATGTTTTGAAGCATACTTTTGTCTGCAGGTCGTGCTAACTCCGACACATTTAGCTATTGTGATGGAATATGCTGCTGGTGGAGAGCTCCTTGCAAAAATTTGTAGTGCTGGTGCATTCAATGAAGATGAGGTGTAAACACATGCAAAATATATTTCGTTTGCCTTGATCTCATTTTCTTTTGGCATTGATTTTATAGAGAGATACTTATGGGACTTTCTTATTGTTAAAACGCAGGCTCGCTTTTTCTTTCAGCAGCTAATATCTGGTGTTAGTTACTGTCATTCAATGGTGAGATATTAGAACTATTTATTCTTTTTGAGTCCTCTTATTATTATCTCATTGTTCTCTCAATGCAGGAAATCTGTCACAGGGACTTGAAGCTGGAAAACACACTTTTGGATGGGAGTCCAACACCACGTCTTAAAATATGTGATTTTGGTTATTCTAAGGTTACAAATCTTTGCATTTGGAATTAAAAAAAATTGTGATTCAATTGACTTCATATTTTTTTTGTGGATAATTTGAAATTTTGTTGGTTTCTGGCATTTACTTGCGGTCCGGTTTGTTGCGCTCACAACCCAAATCGGCAATTGGAACACCAGCATATATTGCACCTGAGGTCCTGTCAAGGAAGGAATATGATGGGAAGGTCTGTATCATCAAAATTCTTGAAGAATTTACAGAGATTCTCTCCCTCTGAGCATTAGTTTCCTCTTCTAGTTAACTCTTCACTGTGATAGTATAATGGAATTTCCTCCCTTTTGCTGTGATATGGTATTACTAGATCAACTAGTATCCCCAACTTGCATCCAAACATAGTCAAAAGTAGTAGTACTGTTTCTTCTAAATCAGCAATATGGCCCTTGTCTCAAGTATCTTGTAAACTTTGTGCTAGTGGTTATGCTTGTTCAGTTCATTTCTTCCTGCTTAACAGGCAGGCACTGCTGCCTGCTTTCTGCTTATTAAATAGTTTTGTCTCAAGAAGGTCTTCATTCATTTTATAATTGCTGTCTATTTTCTAGATTGCGGATGTATGGTCCTGTGGTGTGACATTGTACGTGACGTTGGTGGGAGCTTATCATATTGACTTAATTGGATTTTTGTTCAGTATGACTATTCATTCAAATTCAATAGTGTATGCTTGAAATGGCATATATTTTGACTGAAATCGATTTTAATGCATATGATACTTTTCTTTCAATGCAGTACAATGCTATTAAATGCTCTTAAGGAGTTGAAAAAGGTTGGCTTTTGGATATGCTCATGAAGATGACTTCAGTTTGACACAGATTGCTGCTTTAGTGCCTGTTTGATAACATAAAAAAGTGCTGAAACTGAATTCATTCAGACATTCAGATGTTGTGGGTGTTTGATAAATAAAAATTCACCTGCTGAACTTATTAAGTGGTGCTGAATTTGTATGTATTTTTTTCAGCACAAGAATCGTAGCTGAATGCTTAATTTGATAAGAATCAAGAGATTTATTTCAACTACTTTATCTTATCTACCAAATATATCCCTATTTGTTAATTACATTCAAAATTCTTATCTAATTAAACAACCTAATATTCCCTATTCAAAATCCTTATCTAATTAGACAAAACAACTTGACATTCTCTATTCAAAAATTTTTTTTAACAATAGTATTTTTTTTGCAGTAATTTTCATCCACAAATATTTTTATTTTGATATATTTTTTTTTGTGCAGATAAATATTATTTATGTGATGCAGCTTATCCACACACACGTGGCTTTATGACACCATATCGAAATATTAGATATTGGTTGTCTGATTTTCGAAATGCTTCTCGTCCAATATCAAAAGAAGAACGCTTTAACCAAACACATGCAAGATTGAGAAATGTAATTGAACGTGCTTTTGGAGTATTAAAAGCTTGTTTTCCCATTCTCAAAATGATGAAATCATACCCTTTTCTCACACAAATAAACATTGTCATTGTATGCATTGCTCTTCACAATCATTGTCATTTTCATACCTAACAATTTTAAGTTAATTAAATCATAAGTTCTATTTTCTTTTTGGATTAAAAGATAAAAGGGCAAAATTGTACAATTTAGCTTATTAAGCATTAAGTTATGAATATTTATCAAACACTATAAATAGGTTCAGCATTAAGATTCAGATATTCATATATCTCTTTTCAGTGCTTAAAATTCAGCAAATTAATTATTTCAGTATTCAGCATTCAGAATTCAGATTCAGTGTTATCAAACAGAGCCTTAGTCTATGTTTTTGTTTGGAAAGAGTACTTTGCTTTTTTGGATGCGTAATGGCTGTTACTAGTTGAACTGATGTGAATTTAGTACTTTATTGTTTGGATGGATAATGGCTGTTAGTACTTGAGCTAATGTGGGCTTTGGAACCCATTTTGGTTAATGTGTGTTGTGATGAATTTAGAGATGTTTATAACCATATATATATTTGAGGGTTCATTGTACATTAATTACTATCGTTTTTTGCATTAGTCGAGCCACAATTTTCTGCTATGGTTGTTGAAAATGCAATAGAATTGTAGCTCTTGTAGACAAAGTTGTAAGTTCACTAAGTGACGATTATTCTTGTCACAGAATACTAGGAGTGAGAGTGACAAGTTCAAGTCGTCACTGTGCGCGTTCAAATTTGTAACGACTTCTGCTATCTTTTATGACAAAAAAATTTTGGAAACAGTGACAAGAAACTTCGTCACAGAATACTATTCTTTAGTGACGACTTAGTCTTCGTCATTAAATAATAATATTTAGTGACGACTTTGTAGAGGTTGTCACACGTACCCATTTGTGACATAGAATTAGTGACAACGATGTGACAATGGAAAAAGTCGTCACTATACTCATATAATGGCGACTTTCTAATTTTTAGTGATGACTTTCTATTGTCACAAAAGGCCAAATTTCTTGTAGTGCATGTACATTAGAAGAAGAACTTTGATCATATCCGGTTTGTTTATTTAACACCTTCATCATATTACTCATTTGAGCACTAAGCATGTTTATGGTATCCATTTTAATCATACCTGCTTGGTGTCTTGGATTACCTCTTTCATTGGCCCATTGATAATTATTGACCGCCATTTCTTTAATTAAACTTTGAATTTTTTGGGGTAATTTTGCCATCAAGACTCCACATGTAGCTGCATCAATGGTCATTTTGGTAGAAAATGATAAATCATTATAGAAGTTTTGTACGATTAGCGAATCGAAAAGTCCATGGTATGGATATTTCTGAAACAAATCTCTAAAACTTTCCCATACTTCATATAATAATTCACCATTCAATTGACTAAAATTAGTAATATCCATTTTAAACTTAGCCATTTTGCCCGGTGAAAAATACTTATTCAAAAATGTTCTAGACAAATTATCCCAAGTGGTGAAAGTATTAGGGGGCATGAGAATGTAGCCAAATTTTAGTCTTATCCCTTAATGAAAATGGAAACAATCTTAGCCTTATTACATCCTCACTAACTTCATTCATTTTAATAGTGTCGCAAATCTCCAAAAATGTGGCTAAATATACGTTAGGATCCTCTACGGCATTATCTCCAAATTGCGATTGTTGCACCATTTGGATTAATGATGGTTTAATTTCAAAATTTTTAGTGTTTACAGTCGGCCATGCTATACTTGTTTGAGATTCTTGGGTTTCCGGTAGAGCAAAATTCCTAAGAGCTCGCCTATTTGCTTCGTTTTCTGTCATTTCTTCTTCAAAAGGTAGCTCTATCGTGATTCCCTCTATTTGTTGTCCAACATCTTCTTCTTCTTGTTGCGGTGTATGCCTTCTTTATCTATATAGTGTCCTTTCAATTTCCAGATCAAAAGGTGCGACTACCCAGAAAATCCGGTACATATACTACAAAAAAAAAAGAAATTATGTAGTAATTAATTCACAAAAACTAATAAAAATTCTAACTTAACTAGAAACAAAGTTTAACTAACTAATATAGAGAATGTCTAAATTAATCAAGCTTATTAGACCCTACTATTACTGCTCTCCGGCAACGGCGCCAAAAACTTGATGGGTTTTTGATATAAGTACAAGTTTAATTCCGAATTATACCCGTTTTACTGCAAGCATACAGGTCCAGCTAGTAGTTTAGGGTATACCCCCTTACTTACTCTATTATTTAGACTAATAATCAACTTAAGCAAGAGAAGTTATAATTATTACTATCTAACTAATCCTAACCAGATATTTGCAAGGTAATAATGGAGAAAATTCACTAAATACTTGAGTTTAGGGACATAGATTCCACTTATGGCATCAAAGATAGAAATAAATAGATTTACCTCTTATTACAATTCTTATTTAACTAGGGATTCATTTCCAATATTACCAAATCTCATTCTCATGATAAAATGGCATAAATTAGACTAGTTTTCCCTATTCCCATGGTGAATAAATAAGTCTACTCTTGTTTACTTCATGAAATGTAAGTTTAATCTACTTAAGTGTATTTCTAATCTCATGAGTCTACAACTTAATCTCTATTTATGTTGTTCCATCATTATATCTAACTTTCATTGAATAAAAATAACTATAAGCTTGTTATTGGTGATAAAGTAATAACAAGTGATAAGCATGCACAAATAAACAAATTAATACAAGATGTAATAAGTATAAATCACATTCACTTCATATCAATTAGTCATAAGGTTCATCTACTCCCTAAATCTAGAAATTTAGCTACTCATATAAGATATAACAAGAAAGAACATGATTTCATTGTATGAACAGATATTGAATCACAAGTAAAAAATAGATAAAGAAAGTTTAGCCAAAATAATGAAAAAGCTTCTAATAATCCTCAATTTCTTCAACAAAATGAGTGTACAATGAAGTCTCCAACTATTCTCACAAAAGTTCTAATTAGAGAGAACAAGACAAGACTCACTACTAAGTTCTAATGATAAAATATAATAATCTGCTCTATAATATCCTCTACTCTTTCTTTTCTAATGATTCTAACATCTCTAATTGTTAAGAGAGTTAAAAAATGATTTTTGGATAAGACATAAAACTTCTCTTCTCTTCCTTTTGGAGTCTGAATCATATGCATCCCAAATTCTTTTCTGAAATATAGCTGAAAAGTAGTGTGAAAATAGAGCAAGTAACTGAGTAAATTGCAGAAATTAGGCTACAATATGCGATTAAGAAATATGCGACTACATGTCGCATTTTCAAGTGTCACGTATTCACTTCTATGTATTTAGCTTCATTTCAACTATTATTTTCTCCATGATGAAGGCCGAACTAGATCTTGTGCAAGAAAGTTGTATTCCTTTGAGTTAGATTTCTAATGCTTCAAGAATCATCCAATTTGGAGTTCTGTGAACTGAGAAATGACCAAAATAGCCTCGACTGATCAATCCTCTGTTTCAGCTCTCGACCGTGCAGATGAGCTTCTGTATTTTAACTTTTTAACAATGAAAAGGACTGAACTGGATTTCAATGTCTTCATATTAAATATAGATCTATCTCTTAGGTTCAACATGATTAAGAACGTGAGCTAACATGGCAAACATCCTCAATCACACAGAGTTCCATGCAAGACAATGTCACGTTGACAACATTTCCAGGTAAAAGAACATGAACAAAAATGTTACATTGTCATCAACCAAGGATCAAAGGCAGCATAGGCAACTTAAATGAATGTAACTATACACAACCAGAATCGATGTGAAAATGTCAACTATAACAACTTTATTGGTGAAATTTTGACCTATAATTGCATCTGTTATGTACGCAAAACTAAGGCAGCTTAGTTATGAGAAAGACGCGTAGAGAAAGAAAGAACGTTAGCATGATTAGAAACAAAAGTTATAAACAAACAATCCATGTAAGCCAAATATTAACATCATCAATATCCCAATCTATCTCTCTCCATCTCAAGCTCTCTCAAATCTCTAACCAAAAGTGTTCATCACTTGCTCGTTCATCCTGAACTTCAAAAGTTCTATCATTGGTTAGGTTATCTCATAATCATTGTTTCATAATCACAAGACAAGAATCTCAAACCAGTAATTGAAGAAAAAATAAATCAGAATACCGTTGTTTCATTAATTAGCAAAGGAAAGGTTGCAATTTTTAAGATCAAGTTAGCAAAATAATGCAATTCTTATATAGATGGCGCGTGTACAGATGCAGAGCCACCCTTTAGTATATTATCAGAGTAAAGAAGGATCACAATTTATCTTTTATCTTTCTCTGAATGATCAATATTTACACATCCAAACTATGGTGGTTGGTTCTATGGCTAATGTATAAGCAACATTCTTATAACAAAAACTACAAACAAATGCGAGTCAAATGGCCTGGGATTGGAATAATAACGGAATTCAATGTTTTTTTTTGTCGGAATTCAAGTTAATAGAACACAACAATATAAAAGAATTCATTTAGGAATCCATCTTCCTCATTCCTTGTACTCCAACAATAAATTAACGAATCCGTCTTCCTCATTCCTTGTACTCCAACAATAAATTTATGACTTCCCATTAAAATTATTCAGGATATATAGTTACTAGTTGACATCAAGAAGCCTAATCAACAATAGCGGATGCTTATAGAAATAAAGGCCATGATGCAAACATCTAGACATTTTACATGGGATGATAAATTAACCAAGCAATTAATTAATAGTTAAATTAATGCCACGAGTATACCATTTCACTTTCAGAAGAAAGCAGAAAAATACAAATATTTGAGCACAAGGTATAGTGCGTCACTGATAAGAAAGTACTCTCAAATCGGTGAGGCCAATAATGAAGAATCCATGTACAAGGGATGCCCACAATGCGTAATGCTGAGGAGACTATCTCCGGTGGCCATCTTCGACTGCAGTGATTGGATTTACTGCATTTGGGCCAATTTCAATGTCAACCACGAAAAGAAGCCTTACAATTTCACTCATAACATGCATAAATGAGAGTTGTTCAATGGTGGGAAAATGCAGAGGAGGAAGATGAGTAAGAGGGGAGATGAGGAGTCGGCAATAGGAGTATAGCTGGAGGCAGAGGAGTGAGTTTGGGAGGAGGTAGAGGAGAAAGATGCAGGGAAGTGGGTGGCTTACATTTTTTTTCATTTCATTTTTCTTTGATTATATAGAGGTCCGTTTTACTAATTTAGTACATCTAGGATCCACGTACTAACCAGATTAGGGGGTGAAATTGTGGAATTAGAATTGTAATTCTTAGGTCTTATTAAAGGATTTGAATCTGTAGAATTAAATGCCCATAGAATTCGAATTGAATTCTTCAAATTTTAATTCTCTAGCATTGATAGTGTCCGAATCGCAGATTTGGCATTGGGTTCCAATTCCAATTCTAAGTCTCCAGTTCTTTCACAGCTTGTAATCAATGTAAGTTGTGCCATTTAGTTGGGCTAGTTACCCAGTTTGCTAGTCAACTTAGAAGCAAAAATTCGATCATACCAATATGACTAATTGACTTATAATCAATGTAAGGTGCATCATTTAATTGGACAGTTACCTAGTTTGCTGGTCAACTTACAAGCAGGAATCCAATCATGCCAGTATGACTAGAGGTTAATATTAACAGAATTGGACATGATTCCGAAACCAAACTGAAGTTAAAGTTAATAACTAGCATTGTAAGATTCATCCCACATAGGACGAAAGGAAAGGATGAATAGTTTGGCCTTGAACTCGTGACTCTGCTCAAGAGTCATTAGACCAGTCCAAATCTCACATTAGAGCAAATTTCACATGATCAAGTCGTATGCAACATCAAGTAAAAGTTTGGGGAATGATATTGAAGAAGCATCAAAAGCTATCGAAAGAGCATCAAGTAAATGATCGGGGGAATGATATTAACGATGCTTTTGATGCTGTGGAAAGAGTATTGAGAAGAATCCAGCTTCAGAATTTTTGAGGAATTGAGTTCAATTCATTTCAGACAGTTGATGGATTTTTGAGGCTACAATTTACGCTTTACATGCATAGTTATGCTGTAGTAATTAGTACTTTCGATTTTCAATTCATCGTTGCCTCTTTTTTCTTTTTTCTGGGGGCGGGGTGGGCTGGGGGAGGGGGGCGCTTAGATATTGTATAGGACACTCGGTAGACTTCTTTCTTTTTCTCTTCCGAATAAATATGTTGTAATTTAATTATGCTTCACAGAAGAGTTGCGTAAGGAAATAGAATATGAATCTCTGATTGAGAAAAGTACATGTCAGAAGAGTCTTGGAAAGATTTAGTATTTTTTTTAGGTAATTTCTTTTTTTAATTTGAGATCTTTAAATTTATGATCATATACTCTTATTGATTTTCCTTTTGGAGGATATAAATAAAGTTACATTGGCTTTCTAAGTCTTTTTTTTTTGTCGCAATGATAACATTTTTGTATAACCTACTCTAACCTAATTTAAGACAATATTTTAAAACTCGAACCGCTAATTAAACTGGCGAAGTGTTCGGGTCAAGGTTCAACCGGTCGGACATGTTCAACCCTGGTTCAATGAATTTTTTTAAAAAATAATTTATATAAATATATGTGCACAAAATAAAACATGCAATGTATTAATTTAAAACTTTATATGATGAAAAGTTTACTATTTTTGAATAACTCGGATTTTCAAAAATAAATTTTTTAAATTATAAGTTGAAACAAATAAATTTCATCTCGATTTCAATTATATCTACCAAAAAATAATCTTAAATCCAACCCAAAAATACCACAATATTTTGAAATTATACAAAATTCACGTCTATGAGAATTTAGACATTGTGAGTTTAAATTTTAATTTATGTTTTTGGGATTTAGAGATTGCAATTAAAAAAAGAGAATTTGGAGTTTAAAGGAAGTCAAGAGAATCGAAAATAGAAATGTAAACTTGATAAGAAACAAAAAATGAGATAAAAGTGAGTGATTGTGGCATTTAATAATTAGTCTTTAGGGTTAAAAAAAATATTTTTATAATTTTTTCAATTTAATGGACAAAAACAAAATTAAAAGATAGAAGAAAACATCAATAAATTAAAACTAAAGAGGTTTGATTAAAAAGGGAGTGACAAAAGAAAAGAGGAGAGAAAGAGTTGAAAATTAAAAAGAAAGAGTGATGAGAGGATGAGAGGATGAGATTTTGTAAGAAAAATTGAGAAAAGAAAGATAAATATTTGTTTTATATAAATAAATTATCAATAAAGGCTAATATGATGTAATGGTGCAATGGTTACTACATTAGTCTTCTATCACAAAGGTCTTTGAGTTTGAACCTTGGTAGTTGTATTTTGCAAAACTTTAAAAAAAAAAAAAGAGGAGAAAGTTGAAAATCGAAAACCACTTTTCAATCCAATTCACCGATTTTAATGGTTTTGACCAGTTTTTTGATAAAATCAACCCTAATATAGAACCGGATCGGTGTCATGACCGATTCGCGGTTCAACCGGTCTAACCGATAGATCCTGTCCGATTTTCAAAACACTGATTTAAGAGGAGGGAGAGCCAATGAAATTTTTCCATCGAAAGAAGCCACAATTAAGTGACAAGTTGAGAGGCAAGGTTTAACCATCCTCACCACAACTTAAATTTTTTGGTGGCACCAACAATCCAAGACTGTTGGCTCACATTGGCTGTCTAAGTCGTGTTGCCATCAATAGAGTGAGTGATGGAAATTAAGGCCATTCTACCAAAGCCAGTTCAGAGGAGGGATCGGGAGGCGCAAAAAGATGGTAGATTATTGATTCCAAACGCACTCACAAGTAATTGACTAGACAGAGGTGGAAACGTGTAAATGTTTTGGATTCAAGTGACACTGATGACTGTTTGACTGTTCGCCCTTTTGTCTTTCCGATATGTTTCCACTTGGAAATTTGTTGTTTTCATACTTTGTCCCAGCCTAAGAAAAAGATGTTAACAGCAAGTGATGTCCAAAAATGAAAGAAAAGAAAAAGAAAAAGAAAAAGTTAGTTGTAGTAGGATTCAAAATATAAAATAATCCACATTGTCTTTTTTATTAGTACTATAAAAAATATTTCAATAATTGCTTGAATTGGCCGAGATGGTAACGTTGGTGTCATATCTTTCTATCAACCCGAATTCGAACCTCTTCTGGAACATCCGTCCATTGCATAGGGCTTGCTTGTGCGCACTCTCGAGTAGAAAAAAAAAAATTTAGTGGAGCAAGTGATAACATATAGTTTGGTGCAATCTATTGGAAGAATTAAAAAAAAAAAAGTGTTTCAGACTACTTTCAAATCCTTCCATAAAATGCATCAGAACGAAAGTTTAAGCCAATCCTTTTTGCCAAAACAAAAATAAACTGAAAAATTTTTAAGCTTCTTGTATGGATCGAAACCCAGAAAAGGAAAAGAAGATGAGTTTTACTGGCACATAATTTCAAACAAAATATATTTCATTTGTTTTGTACGTTAAACCTTTACCATTCAAGAAGGGTTCATGACATCCCAATTCTTTTTCTTTGTTTTTGAAGTCCCAATTCTCTCTTTGTGGTATGGTTTTGGGCAGTGGACCAAAATGATCCTTTTGTTCTGCCAAAAACAAATTTAATCCCTTTTACTCGAAAATGATCCAATGTCTCTCCCTTATAATTTCATCAAAACTAAATTGAAGATTCACTTAATCACAATGGGCTTTTTAGTATTGTGCCCAACTAAATATTTTGCAATTTTCACCATTTATGGTAAAATAAATTCCCTTATAATATTTTTTTATTTAAAGGTGATCATTGAATAGCTTTTTAGAGGTGCTAAAAATTGCCTAATTTCGTGCATTATAATAACATTTAAAATTTTAATGTTGTTGCGGAAATCCATTAATTGACAATAGAAAAAACAATGTGATGTTTAGGCACCATTCTGAAAGAAATTCATGTTTCTAATATTATTTACAATAATTGAATTATAGCTCATCTATTTAGTGGTTTACTTAAGTTTGGATTTTTCATGCACCATGGTTAATATATCAGAATTTTGTCTTACGATTAAAAAAAATAAAATGATAGTGGGATGCTTATAATTGCCTCCAAATCCTACATTAATGTCTCCGCTCTCCTTTATCTATCCTAGCATTAGTTAATATAGTAATATGGTCATAGAATTTCAAGGACCATAGTGATTAATTTTCTAAATACTAGGGGCTAATTTTTTTTTTTTTTGCGTGAAACAAAAAAAAAATCATTTTAACCCGCATCCTAATTACTGAGCACAAAAATTGCAACTCTTCCTTTCTGAATTCAAAGACTAGTCTATTTTCCATGTGAAACACCAAGGACCAAAATGTCGTTTTAGGTGGCTATCTTTTCCTTGCACACCCTAATCCTATTACAAGTTTACAACAATTTCAAAGAAGCCTTTATCGCAGGCGGAGTCAAGGACCCATCTTTTTGAATAAACAATTCAAAAGTGAATTAAAGAGTGATTAAAGGTAAAGGGTTAGCATGCAGTGATTGGCATTTGGGGTGGACATGAGGAGTAAACTGATAATGTAATTTCACAAATATTCGTGGATCCTATGCAAGCTAAGTTGCACTTCATCGTTGTGCATATAAACAGATCTTCATTCTGAAATAAAATTAATATATGATCTAATAAAAAAACATAGTATGGATCTATATCATTTTATTTCTTATACTTTAGGCACACGTCATAATGAGGAATAGATTCACTCTGCTTCTTTATGCTTCGGTGCATGCTTTATATAGTTTTTTCGACCTTTATCCACATATTGTAAAGGTTTACTACATTGATATAACTTACGTTTTGTAAGGAAAAAAATTGAACCTAATATGACAATGAAATTCAATTTTTCGTATGATGCTTTAGAAATAGGTAAAATCCCACACTTGATCTTTTTTGGAAGAAAAAGAACAAAAACAAAATAAAAAGGAAAAACGATTATTAAATATTTAATAAGACTTTTTGACTTGTATCCACAAGGCACTGGTTAACCAGTTCCCACTTCTTTGATTTTCAAAGAGGTAAAGTTAATCCCAATCCTTCTAAATATATGCAAGAATGTTGGAAAATCATATTAGAACTCACTCACTACCGTTAAAGGAATCTTAAAAAAATTGCCTCTTATGTTATCTCTTACACACACCTCCAGTCTAGATAAACCATGACACAAGCAAATAAAACAAAAGGATAACAGGCCAACAATTTTATGTCATTTTCCGCATGGAATTTTTAATGAGTAACCCGCAAAGAAAAAAAATCCTAAAAGGAAAAGGGTAGAATAAAGAAGGCTACGAGAAAGTACAATCCCATGTCCATTATAATTGATTAAATGTAATACTCTAAATCATCTACATTTCGTTTTTTTTTTTGTTTTTTGTTTTCTGTTTTTATCTTAAGAGAGACTTCATATCCTATCAGGACGAAGGCGAAAGAGACGATGGCTTGAGAGTTGATTTGGGGACTTCAAGCTCATCTGGTAAATGTCCCTGCCAAGTTAATTATTATTGACTTAATTGGGAGAGACATCTTGCAGATTATGTTCTATATGCCAAAGCCAGTTTTTAAGTCAATTCATTTCCTTTATTACGTGGCACAGTTAATCGACAACAGTAGCACCATTTTCAATCAAAATAATTTCTTTTATTTGGAATAGCCAATTTAAGAAAATTTATGAATCAAATACTACTTGAATCTTCTCTGCCAACTGATCAATCAAATCAAATGTCATAGTCATTTTTCTCTCATAAAATTAATTTTTTTAAAAAAATTCTCTCTTCTAGCAAATTATCTCTTTATTTGAATTTTTTTTGGACCATATAAGGCAAGAAAGTTTATTAAATTTTACAATCGACATATTGGTGCATGTAATAATTCTTTGTATGGTTGGCTAATGTATATTGATTAAATTTATTTCTTCAACTAATTTTTTTTTTAAGAAGTTCAGTTTTTCAATACAATGTCTCTTCATGATGAATAATCACACAAATATGGCAAGATAATTTTTAATTCAAAGTTAAAAATTCTTTTTATGATAAGAATACAATGTACTCGCACAAGGCTGGGATGTAAACTCACGAGGTTAGCAAAGGAAGTACTATGAGGGTGACTGACCACCTAGCCAACTGAGCTACATAACTAGTTCAACTTAAATAATTTTTTTTTAAAAAATTTATAAACAATGAAAATACCACTCCCATTATTTATTGTATTTTTTTTCCGCTGATTAATGCAGAGGTTAAACAGACACCTTTCTTGCATTTAAATGAGAGTAAAGAATTTGGTCAGAATTGCAATCGATTCATTAAAACGCATTTAACCAGTCGGCGGTTAAATTGATTGACTCTGCTGAATTTATGCTAATATGGAATGCATTATTTCTCAAAACTGCCAAGTATAACGTGGGGTATATGTTTATTAAATAAAAATTGAGGAAAATATTATTTACACTCCCATTTTTATTATTCACGCTCCCACAATCGTTTTAATTATATAGTTTTCATTAATTAGACTATATGATAAAACAAATTGTGGGGGTGCAAATAATAAAAAATGGAGTCTTAATAAAATTTCCTTAATGTTGCATGCTAAGTGAATAACATAAATTTAAAGCGTAGCTAGAAAATTGAAAAGAATGTGTTATTAGCTATGTCCCAATTCACCGAAAAATAATTTTGACTCTAGCCACTACATATTCAGGTGGTACACCTAATAGAAATTCGAGGAGTGGCAAGTTCTATTTCACTCCATTTCAAGATAAAATGATTATTTCAAGGTTTTTTTTACACCATATTATAATTTATTTATACCGCAATTCCAAGTTATTTATACACAAAGACAAATTTGTTTGGAATAGAAATTAGTGAGGCCCCATCCACCACCCAACAAGTCGCCACCACCAGCCTTTGTTTTTCACGCTATTATCTATAACTATATTGGATGGCGAAACTATAAAAGTTACTATGGGATTTACATTTATTTTTCATTTTCCCTGCCTTCTTCTTCTATTTTCTTCCCGCTCTCTCCATTTCTTCTAGTATTGCTTTTAGCTTTCTTACTTTTAACTAAAAATACGAGACAAATAGGTAAGTGAACATTAATTCCCTATTAATAAAATAGTTTATTACAAAATCTAAAGATTGAATTTGAAACTTATTCGTCAGTATAAAACCTACTTACCAAATATTCCTTAAACTTTAAATAGTTAATGCAAGAAACGTTTGGGGTCCATCGTGTTGGCCAATTGAAATGTGAGAAAAAAAGTGAAAAAACACTTTTCGTGGAATAGACCCTTTTAGCTCTGCACCGTCTAAAATTGTCGTGGACTACAATAAACGATGCAAAGTATGTCGTCAAAAGCTGTAAATTAGGGTTCGTTTGGACAGTAGATTATTTGGGATTTTTTTAAGGTTACTTTGTAAGATTGCGTAAATATGAAATAGGCATTTGGATAATAAGTAAATCGTGTAAACTAGCGTTTGGACAAGTGCTCATTATTGAATTTAATTAGTTGACTTTGACTTTGAAAATTTTGACTTTTGCGACTTAAAATATAAACCGATTCACACTTAATACAGATACCGTACACATTAATTTATTAGCTTGGAAGAAGAGGCCATTTTAAGTACACTCCATCCATCAATTGTACTGTTACTAACAATTATTTATCGGTGAATTCAAAAAACACCTAGCGGCGTCGTCGCCCCCGTGCTGCGTACATTTGAGTCGCTATGTAGTCTCGCTTAGCCTTTCATTCCGCAAGCTCTGCAGGAGATACGTTCAATGCAAATGGCTGTCGTACTGGCCCGCCTACTTCTGGCTCTTCATTTAAATGCACATCCTCTGCTTCGAACCGTTGAAAATGGTCATCTTCTGGCTGGTGCATCCTTAAAAAGTTGTGTAACGCATCATGTTGCGGAATTGGTTGATTGTTCCTTATGTGTGCAAGAGACGGATGCATTAACATTAACGAGGCACTCATAAGTAGCAAGGCCTCATCTTCCTCATCTTGCCTCATGCGATCTGAATTGCGTCCCCTAACACCCCAACGGTTGTTCCATGCCATGATAATTGAGTATATATCGATCTGTATATTTTTTTTTAGTGTGTTTTCATGTGTGTATATCTAATTCCATAAACTTATTTATATACGTGTTTGTGTATATATATATATATATACATACAAATATATATATACGTGTTTGTATATACAAAATTGATAACCAGCACATAAAATGCCATTTACTTTAAAAACTCAGCACATTAATGACGACATCAAAGTTTTCATCCTCGTCTCGTACTAAAAATGGCATAAAGAGATTTGTTTGCACCGAGGACCAAAAAGTAAAAAAAATTTATGCAGTCGATGGCTTTTATATCATAGGGATTATTTGGATTTTGCATGATACACATTCAAATTGACTATTTCAATTCAATTTTTGACGTTCAAATTTGTATAACGCATAGAGTATAAAAGTTTTCCATACAAGAAAGAAAGAAACACAGAAATTGCAATTAAGGGTGACTGGGCAGCATACGTCTGGGTTAGATTTCATTTCTCTTTTGAATTTACTACTTACCTAATGTGCTTGATAACCACCACGTATTTTGCAGATTGCTACACCCAATCCCGTCATTGAGCTACTACTCGGACAATCAACGAGCACACTACCAGGAAACAACTTGATCGGTTATTCGTCAGAGCTCTTCTGATCGTGAACTAGTTCTGTGGGTGCAGAGCAAGCAATTGGGTTGAAATGCATATGATGGTACTACGAGTTATTTATAGGGTGTATGGATGAACTTCAATTATCAGATACATGTTAAGATTCGTGAGTTGCTCGGTGACAGCCCCAGCACCAGTGAGCTACTACTTGGGCTCACAATTATCGAATAACTCCAAGTCTGTGGAAAGCATACGAGCACATGCACTTCCGCATTTTATGAAACTTGTATCAAGTATAGGTGGTCGAAGTATGGCAGACATGACAAGTCCTGAATAAAGCCGAAGGAAACATGACAAAACCTATGCTAGAAGATCGTTAAAAGAGATGAATAGTTATTATGCTATGAATAAAAAAGTCATCTGCGGTGAGTGTCCTGATAGTTCCTACTCCAACAGAGGCAAATACTCGACAGAGGCAAATTATTTGAGATGACAACGGAGTGTTGTTGAAGAAATTTCCATGCACATGAGCTTTTAGACATGTAATGCTTGTTGGTGACACATACACATATATAGTCCTGCCAAAAAATAAAAAGCATGACTGGAACCAGCACTATTTTTTCCCTTCTTTTCTATTATTTTTCATAGGGCCCATCTTCATTCTGAACTTGAAAAGCATGACTGGAACCGGCAATATCATGACTGGAAGCTTTCATATGCTGACTGGAACCGGCGATATCCTGACGGTTCTTTTTCACTTGCCGTTTTACCTGATTTGTGCGTTTGGAATACATTTAATTAGTTCCCATAATTGGTATAAAATAGATTAATTACTGTGAGCAGCTTGTGCTTAATTTTGCGACTGGGAATTGCCCTATTCGACGTTGTAAAACTTGTCACATGCTTAGTAATTTAGAAACCTTAGAACCAGGAGATCGGCACAAATGCATTCAGTTAAAATCCCCAACTAGTTCTTTCTCAGGATTAACTTCACGTTAGAGAAAGCTCATTAGCTAAATCATCATACAACAACATATGGAAGCACTTACACAGAAGACAAATAATATGATAAATAACAAGGAATCAAGTTAAATTAAAAAAAAAAAACAAATCCATGCTCGTCTGTCCAGTGAATATCATCAACGTAAGACTATTCATTGACAAAATTTCACCAGAACCAAATGATTAAAACAGAATGGTATAGAAAAACGCACAACAAACAGAGGAGAAGCAAAATGATAAAACAAAAAGTATAATGATCCTTACTGACATAATTCCTATGAATGAAAAAGTCATCTTATTTGAGTGTCCTGACAAAGCATACTCCACCAAAGTGGGGTAAGAAAATACACACCATAGAATTAAATAAAAGTGACGGCTGACCCCTATGTTACAAGCATCAAAATTGGGCAGGCAGCCCCAACGGGAGAAGTTGTGACCAGTCACAAACTTCAGGCCAACAACAAGTAAAGAAAAATCAACTCCAAGTCTCAGCAACACACATAATTAAGTTAGTACAAATATACTCTGTTTTCAACAGCTACAACTCAAGCCAAGCCTTTCTCCTGCATCAACTTAAGGATATAGCCATACCGGTCAGCTGCAGAAGCCCTGAGCAAAATAACTCGTTCCTCCTCTCTGTCACTATTGGCATAATGACAGTTAGCATGTATCCTCCAGTTGTCCGGAATCTCCATTGTGTCGATCACATCCTGGCATTGGATTACACTGTATAGGAACTCGAACTCCATCCTACTCCGTCTGTCCTCAAGTACAACTTCGGAGTAATTTCCAATTTTGCTAATAGCATCCTCAAGTCCAGTGGATGACCTTGTCAATTTTGACCCTCTAGTCCCCTCCGGTTCACCGCTGGTCCCCAAGCTTGAGGCTGACCGTTTTCCTCCAACAGCCCCTGGAACTGGCGGAACATAGTACACGTCCCCCTCATCCCCTTGGACACCCATGCTCGCCGGATTAGGGGACATCGAGCTAGAGGCTTTACGTTTTCCCTTCCGGCTACTAGCAGAAGTGTTGGCTCTTTCACGGTGAGGCGGTTCCGATGGTACTACCTCGCTTGCAGATTGGGCACGGCTGCCTGTCGCGTGTCTTCCAAGAAGAAGCGGTGTGAGCCGATCATACCAGTAGCATGAGTTCTCTTTTTTGAAATCAGCATACGAGGAATTTGTCTAACATTATTAAAGCAATTCTGAAGTCAGCACGAAAGAAAGACAACTGGAATACTACTTAACTACTGGAATTCATAGATATAACTCCAATAGAGATGCATTTCAGTTAATACGAGTCAGAAAAAATGAAAGCCATATCATGTTTCTTCAAGGCAACCATCAGGTCAGCAGCTTCATATTCTATGTGGCAGGGCAACTCTTCCCATTCTAGGCAACTAAAGGAGAAAATTGGGAGACACCCGGCAGTTCCTATATGTTACCAGGTTTAAAAGATAGCGTCTAGTCCATGACCTGATTCCAACTAATGAGTTTCAGAACTGTGAAAAGTAGATAAAGCAGAAAAGCAAATTGCATCAGAGTACGAATTACAGTAGAAACTTCTTTCAAAATTTGTCCGCAGAAAAATGTCAAGTAACAAGTGCCAATTTCAAGTAAACATTTGGTTCCCAGTTCAAAGTTTTGGCCCCTTTTTCTACCAAAGTTCACCAGCAATTCTAACTGTCTAAAGGAGACAGCTAAACAGAAATCCAAACTAATCCTGTTGAAAATCACCACGAATATCCTCTAAACCAAGGAGACATTTTTTAAGCAAATTCCTGAAATGGGAAGTAGTTGATTGCAGCTATAAGCATTCAAGAGCATCATAAGCAAGTAAATTAACAGAAGTAAAGGCATCTATAATTCCACACCTGCACCAAGTTTTGCCAATGTTCTTCATCAGCAGTGAAGCAGTAGCTGTCCTCATTCCACCCAACCCCAGTCTCAGATTTTGAGGATCTCCCACGCAGATTACAGAACAAGTCCCATTTTTTCTTGATGTGATAGAATCTGGTCTGCAATTGCTGGCCAGTGACGGTCATGATCCCATTACTCACCAAATGGCTTGCCAACATGTCGTAGTTTGTCTCAAGCGACTTCTTATTGTCCCACCAGTTATTTTCCCTAAAGCTAACGTATGCTATGAGGAAAGCTTCATCCATTGCATCGGTCCATTGAATCCTGGAAGCCATTTGCTGAAATGTGGGGGAGGAAAAAAAAATGTAAGCGCAAAACAGATATTAAAAAGTATTTTAAAGCGCTATGGAAAAATGAAATCGACAAATAATAGCTGGGGAAAAACAGGGCAAATTTTAGGGAACAGTACGAATTCACTTGCCTCAATGTAGGTGGAAAGGCAGTCGATGTAGTTGTTGGAGGCAGTTGACGAACGGGAGGAGCAATCGGAAGTATAGCTAACAGGTGAGGCTACAAAATTCCAACAATAACTAGTTAGACTCAAATAATTGGCATAGAAAATTACTTGAGAATACATATATACATGCAAGAAGGACATACAATCGCAGGAAGGCTTCTTCCTCTTGTCAGCGGTCATAACCGAATAGCTAACAGCGTCACAACTAAAGTATGGACAGCAGCTGGAATCCTGAATTATTAGTCACGATTCTTCAGCAATTTATCTTGTTGTACAGATTAACAGTAAGGGCCAAAATATTAATGATAGGAACCTTTGTAAGATAAACATCTACAAGAGCATATTAATCACAATTAATTTCTTGAAAGTATAGAGGTTATGCCAATATTGATGTAGCACAATTTCCATCAGCATTTAAGGGGCACACCAAATGTAAAGAATCCTACATAGTATAAGTTTGTCTTTTATGCCATTTACAACAGTTTAAGAACAGGCCCATCACTGGGAGCGGTGATAAAATGTAAGCCCTGAACAGGGGTAAAAATGTTCATCACAGAAAGTAGTCACTTGTTATTGTATTAGTTGGTAGGAATTAGCTGTAATTAGTCTAAGAATACAGCTATGTAATTAGTCTAAGATAGCTGCTGTAATTAGTCTAAGAACACAGCTATTAGTCTAAGATAGCTGCTGTAATTAGTCTAAGAACACAGCTGTATATAGTCTGTAATTACAGACTATATACAGCTGTACATGGCTGACCATTTAACCTAGTTACTTGTATAAATAGATCAATGACATATATGAAAAAAATACTTTTCAGCATAATAAATAACTTGGTATCAGAGCATTGGGGTTTTTCCTTGCTCTCCTCTTCTCTGAAAGTTCCAGCCATTCTTTCAATAGCCCACACTGCTGAAATTTCTTCTTTGTTATTACCTGTTACAATCATATCATCAACATAGACAAGAAGCACGGTAATATCATTGTAGTTACGTTTATAGAACAGCGTATGATCTGCTGAAGCTTGCTTGAATCCATACTCCTCCATGGCATGAGTCAATCTTCCAAACCATGCCCTTGGTGATTGTTTTAATCCATACAATGCCTTTTTCAGTCTGCACACCTTTCCTTCTTCTAGTGTAAACCCCTGAGGAGGATCCATGAAAACTTCCTCAGTCAACTCACCATGAAGAAAGGCATTCTTCACATCAAATTGTCATGAAATTGTCATCAAATTCTTCATCAAACCACTTGTGTTTACACACCCCAGCAGAATGGCACAGCAGAACGGAAAAATCGTCACTTTCTTGAAGTAGCACGAGCCTTATGTTTTACTATGCATGTTCCAAAACATTTTTGGGCTGAAGCTATTATGGCTGTTGTTTTCCTCATTAATCGATTGCCCGCTAAGGTTATTGATTTCCAAACTCCTTTGAGAATGTTATCTAAATTTCATTCTATTCCTTCTGCTCTTAATATTTGTCCAAAGGTTTTTGGTTGTGTATGTTATGTTCATGTTCATTCCCATCATAGAGATAAACTTGATCCTCGTGCTATCAAATGTGTTTTCCTTGGCTATTCTAATTCAAAAAAGGGATATAAATGTTTTCATCCTCCTACAAGAACCTACTATGTGTCTATGGATGTTCAATTTTGTGAAAATGAGTCTTATTTTTCTGGACATATGTCTGCGGTTCCTCTTCAGGGGGAGATTAAAAGTAGAGAAGAGGAAAAACAATGGCTAGAAGAAAAAAGGATATGGATCTCAGGTATAGAAAATGCAAAGGAAAATGGGGAATCCTTAGTTTTAGATGATGGTCAGGAAAATAAAATTGAAACTAATAGTGAGAGACCAGCTCATCTCTTTGAGAAAGGATATTCTAGGAGAACAAAAGATATCACTGTTATGCCTTCTGATTCTTGTACCTCCCTTAATGATAATACCTCCCTTGATGATACTACCATGCTATCGAATGAATCTTCCAAGATTGACACTAAGGTATGTACTTCTTCTGAAAGTCTTGACCCATATCCTAATATTGATCAGAATAGAAGATATCCTCTTCGTGAACGAAAAGAACCTGATAGACTTGGTTTTTCAAAAGCTTCCAATGTTTCTTATCCAATTTCTGATTTTATATCCTATCACCGTTTGTCTAAGGCTAACTTGACATTTGCTCTTCAGTTGTCTTCTGTATATGTTCCTAGTCATTTTCAGGAAGCCCTTGATGATCCTAAATGGAAAGATGCAATGGTAGAAGAAATGATGGCTCTCCAAAAGAATTCTACTTGGGAAATGGTTGAGTTACCAATGGGAAAGAAGACCGTAGGGTGTAAATGGGTATTCAATGTCAAATACAAGTCTAATGGGACAGTTGAAAGATACAAAGCTAGACTGGTTGCAAAAGGCTACACTCAAACCTATGGTATTGACTATCAAGAGACATTTGCACCGGTTGCCAAGATGAACACTGTTCGTGTCATATTGTCACTTGCAGTTAATTTAGACTGGCCTCTACGACAATTTGATGTGAAGAATGCCTTTCTTCATGGTGAGTTGACTGAGGAAGTTTTCATGGATCCTCCTCAGGGGTTTACACTAGAAGAAGGAAAGGTGTGCAGACTAAAAAAGGCATTGTATGGATTAAAACAATCACCAAGGGCATGGTTTGGAAGATTGACTCATGCCATGGAGGAGTATGGATTCAAGCAAGCTTCAGCAGATCATACGCTATTCTATAAACGTAACTACAATGATATTACCGTGCTTCTTGTCTATGTTGATGATATGATTGTAACAGGTAATAACAAAGAAGAAATTGAGAACCTTCGAAGCTACTTAGCCAAAGAATTTGAGATTAAAGATTTGGGGACTCTTAAATATTTTCTTGGCATTGAAGTATCACGGTCCAAGCAAGGACTCTTCCTTTCCCAGAGGAAGTATACATTGGAACTCCTAGCTGAAACTGGTATGTCTGCTTGTGAGCCGATAGATACTCCGATTGAAGTGAATCATGGCCTAGCCTTCTTTTCTGATCAGATTCCAACAAACAAGGAAAGATATCAAAGGATCGTGGGTAGACTAATCTATTTAACTCATACCAGGCCAGATTTAGCATATGCAGTCAGTGTTGTTAGCCAGTTTATGCACAATCCAAGTGATCAACACATGAATGCTGTTAATCGAATCTTGGCTTACTTGAAATCTGCTCCAGGAAAAGGTGTCTTATTCTCCAAACACGAACATTTTGATGTGGTTGGATATACAGACTCTGATTTTGCTGGTAGCAAGTTGGATAGAAAATCAACTTCTGGATATTTGGCTTTTGTTGGAGGCAACTTGGTGTCTTGGAAAAGTAAAAAACAGAACGTGGTTTCATTATCTAGTGCAGAGGCTGAATATCGAGCTATGCATCATGCTATCACAGAACTCTCTTGGCTAAAAATTCTCTTAAAGGAGATTGGGTTTGGTCCAAAAGGTTCTATGGTATTATTTTGTGATAATATGGCAGCCATTAAGATTGCAAATAATCCTGTTCAACATGATCGGACAAAGCATGTTGAAATTGATAGGAACTACATCAAAGATAATCTTGATTCCGGGACAATTGAAATTCCCTATACTAGAAGTTCAGATCAGTTGGCTGATATTATGACTCATGCTGTTACTAGTAGCTTATTCAATGCATCTCTATCCAAGTTGGGCATTTGTGCTATCTATGCCCCAACTTGAGGGGGAGAGTTGGTAGGAATTAGCTGTAATTAGTCTAAGAATACAGCTATGTAATTAGTCTAAGATAGCTGCTGTAATTAGTCTCAGAACACAGCTATTAGTCTAAGATAGCTGCTGTAATTAGTCTAAGAACACAGCTGTATATAGTCTGTAATTACAGACTATATACAGCTGTACATGGCTGACCATTTAACCTAGTTACTTGTATAAATAGATCAATGACATATATGAAAAAAATACTTTTCAGCATAATAAATAACTGTATTGCAAAAGGTCTTGGTTGTTATAGAGATACAGGAAAAAATAATTAAAAAGATATCCTTTGGAATGCACATCACTAACCAAACCACATAATTAAGAGCCACGAAAACAGTTGTCAAACCATAATCCAAAGCTAAACCATGAACCCCAAGAGATATCCCTCGTTTATGTCAAATCTAACAACTAATCAAGAAACCCATCTGGTCCTCCAGTTTCATAATCCCCAGAACATTCTTACCATATCCCTATCTTCACTGATTGTCACTTTTTTGTCAGTGATCTTATTGCTGCCGGCCTCAGTCATCAGTCCTCAATCTTGTTTTCCATTTTGTCCAAATAATCTCAAACAAAGAACATTCGTAACCAGTTTTGCACTACCAATACAGAGTACTAGTTTCACGGTACCCTAAGCTAAGTATCAACATTCTATAAACACCTCTACAGAAGGCTTTGGCATTTCATTTCACCGAGAAAAACATATTATTATCTCAAATTTCAGACTTTTAACAGAGTGAGGAACAATTAAACACGGAGAATTCAAAATTCCATTGACCAGCAAAAAGAACTAGGTATCATAAACCCAAAAAATTCCGTTGGGAATTTAATCACACTATTTTTGTTACTTCCTAAACCCAAAAAACCTCAATGCCCACTATTATTTTTCGGTCTCTGTAAATTAGCCTTAATTGTGAAGTTATGCTGTTAAACATAACTACAGAGTTGATTCCGCAAGCACTGTTTCAGATTCAGCCATGACAATTGCTAAGAAGTAGTTTGCATACTGTCCGGGAACATACCTGCCAGAGAGCTTGCCGGAATCACAGCTGGAGTGTTGCAAATCCAAATTGCCGCTGGAGTGGTGCAATTGCCAAGCTGAATGAAAACCACCACCACCTTCAGTCTCGCAAGCAATTCATATCAAGCGTGTTGTTGTTGGCCAGGAAATCGTCCCAGCTGGATCTGCTTGGAGCTCTTTGGCCGGTGGGAGCTAGATGAAATTGGGCAAAAAATGGCTTAGAAGAAACTCTGCACGTGAAGCCTGTCGGATATTTTGAGGAGTAAATGGCTTTTACTCCTACAGCCAACGGATACTTTTACTTTTCCATCAGAAAAGCCTGCCACATCAGCACGTTTTGTTTTGTAGTAATTTGTTTGTACAAAAGGCTGCTCAATCTGAAGGCATCCAATGTGGGTAAAAGAAGGGTGAAAAAACTTATACAGTCCAAACGGTTATTTTCTTTTAGGTTAAATGTTAAAGATATTTTACATTCCAAACAGTCCCAAAGCTCGAGATCTGGTAGGAGTAGTCCTAAGTAAGGAATCCGTTTCTTCTGAATAATACAAAAAATTATGCTTTCCAAATCATATTGTGTTCTATCCTTGCATCATTTGATTTCCAATACTCCTTGTACCCAAAAAAACCAAAGCAATGGCTGAATTGTTTGTTCCAAAGATAATAGATGAATTGGGTGATGTTGTCGTGAAGGAGCTTGGGGAGAAGGTTAACCTGGTGATGGGGGTTAAAGAAAAGGTGGGAAATATCTCCTCTAAGTTGAAAACAATTGAAAAACTTTTGCATGATGCAGAGAGAAGAAGGCTGAAGGAGAAACATGTTGGCATTTGGCTCGAAAAGCTTGAAGATATAGCATATGAGATGGATGATGTGCTGGACGAATGGAAGATCAAGATTCAGAATCCAAAAACCGAGGGAACTCATCAGAATGCAAAGGATGAAAGCTTCCAACAATCAGAAAACAAGCTTAAACATGTTTAAATAATGCCTGAATCGATAAGAAAAAGAGAGCATCCACCAACACTATACGGGATGACTAGATAGATCCAGATGCAAAATTTAGTAGTACCTTAGATAGTCACCATCCAATCCAGCATCAATCACGGCCTTGCCATCATAGTCAGCAGCTTCAAGACAGAAATCATAAAGGTCTTCAAAAAAATTGTGCCTCATCTATACCAATAACTTTTAGCTGTAATCATGGTAATAGCAACCACTAAGGATACTGGTGTACTGCAAAATAGGACTGTCATAATGGTCCAATGCAAAATTCTGAAAAGTCCCATATTCATCATAAAATATGCAGTATCCATATTGGTTGACACAAACAATGTGTCATTGTTTAGCATTCTTGCAAGATAGTATATGCAAACCAAATATCATATGCCCAGGCAATTGATACCAGACTAAGATGCAGCACTACATCTCAAGTACAAGGTCAATTTCAATAGGGCATGCCTTATCATATGCCTCACTACCAAGCTTTTGTCTGAATGGCAATTTTTCTCCATCAAGTGTAACAATTGAATCCAATGCATACTTAGTGTCCTTATCTGATTTTATAATTGCAATACTTCTGCATACAGATACTCATTACATAAGAATGAGATAAACAGAGGTCATGTTTACATCCACCAAAAATCCTTTCTGTCCAGATGGTACAGTTTCAAATGGGAAAAATAGCAATGTCAAAATAACTAAATCAGTGTCAAGTTCTAATCTATTTCAAGAAACAGTTTTGTGTAAAGGAGGTTCTTGGATATATAATTTATTATGGTAATTGAAAACAAGATCTCCAATGCCAGCCTTGATGCCAAGGTTACCAGCATAATACCAAAAGGAATAAAACAAATACACCCAAAAGACAATTGGCCTAGAACCAACCAGATACCAAACCCGCCCCCCAACCCAAAAAAAAAAAGCCCCAACAAGAAAGGGGAAAAAAAATTAAAGGTAACCAAAATTTAAAAGTTTTTACTCAAAGTGAAGCTTAATTCAATCGTGTTAATTTCAATTTCTCTTACATGGACAATAATCAGATGCAGAGTAAGGAATTTTCTTATTTCTTTATGCAAAAGGCCAACAGAACATGTCGATTTTCTCTTCATATTGTTCCAGCATGCGCTATAAATTGAAGATAATAAGACAGTCAACTTAAATCAGTATCTCAGGCAATAAAGAATCTGTTTAACAAACCGTGTATGATACATTGGTTGTAGAAGGATTCTAGAACTTTAGAATGTTAAGACACCAGAAAATAGTCTTCAACTGATTAAACAGTTAGAACTGGAGTTACATATGTTGAATTCACCCAATAATTGACCATAGAAATGGTAACTAAAAGTTTCCATAAGATCAAATTGTCTAATTTGCTACGAAGCCTTAAGCACTCAGAACACAAAAAGCACATAAAGAACTCGAATGGAAGAAATGGCATCTCAAGCGACATGATTTACCAAGTGCCAGTTTCTACTAACTCCGATACATTCAATCCATAAACCTCTGCATAAAAAGTTCAGACATCCACCGTGAAGCTCGACTCCTGAATAACTTCCAGCACCACCTGAATATGATCTGAATATTTATCAATATCCAAAAGGTCCTCAATATGATGTAATGGCAAAGACCCTTCTGAATCTTTCCTACATATTTCACATATAGGTCTTTTCCTAACCATTAGAGGAAATATAATGACCATAGAAATGTTTATCTCCTTCTCTAATTATAAAAAAATTAGTATGCATGACACTGAGGATGAAGTAGAGTCCAAGAATTTAAAGCTTTCAGAAGTTCCCCCCTCCTAAAAAGCAGCAACCCAATCTACAGCATTAGCTGCATATATGATGGCATAGCTCAAACTTAATCCTGTCAACTAATTACTTGGCATGAGGAATATACCCCATATCTTTCAGGACACAAGTCAGATCTTCATTTAACTGATAACTCCTCAGTTTTCTCATGAGTGTTATGCTCCATAAAGAAAAAGTGAGCCTCCCTTTGAATTTCAATCATGCTATGACCAGGCTCCTTCTTCATCTCAGATTCATTCATCACACTCCTAAGCTCGGCTACATTATCCCACAAACCAAAAGAAGCATAAGCATTTGATAAGACAACATATTTTCCAGCACTTTTGGATTCCAACTCAAAGAAGTTCTTCACTGCAAGCTTTGCCAAGTCCATATTTCCATGAATCTTACAAGCCCCAAGTAAAGCACCCCATACAAAAGGGTGCTCCTTACAAGGTGAACTCATAAGCATCCACTAACCTACCAGCAGGCCCTAACAGATCAATTTCCCTTTGGCTGAAATCTGCAATCTCTAGTCATTGAGGTAAAGTACTCCCAGCCTCTGTTCACCAAACCTCCATGGTTACAAGCAGCAAGAACAGCAAGAAATGTAACATGGTTGGGACTAAAACCTTCATCTAACATCCTATGCAAGGATTCTATAACCTCTACCACTCTTCCATGTTGTCCATATCCAGATATCAAAGCAGACCAGGTAACAACATTTCTATCTAGAAACTTCTCAAATACAAGATCCCCTACAGAGAGCCTACTGCACTTGAAATACATATCCATGAGAGCACTATTAACTACAAGGTTTCCACAAATTTGGCACTTGATCCACAGAGCATGGGCTTGCCTGCCCTGTTCCAGGATTGCTAAAGAAGCATGAGCCCTAAGGATTGATCCAAAGGTATAATGGTCTGGTATCAAACCATTTTTTCTCAGCTTATGGAACATGCTCAAGCCCACCTCTTACAAACCTTTCTGCACATAACCTATAATCATCAAATTCCATGAGACCAAGCTTTTCATTTGCAACTTATTGAAAAAAAGAGTGTGGGCTAGATTAAGATTTCTGATTCTACTTGAACCCCTGCCTGGCATAATATCTGAACAGCCTCCACTACCGTTCCTGAAAACAGTAATCCTTCAAAGTCTCATCCAACTGAAGGGTAATCTCTCTAGCATCAGCCTGAAAACTGGGAATGTCATCAACGATGATTTAATTTGACAGCAAAAACAACTCTAGTTCCCTTGTTCTTCTTCAAAGAAGCGGAACAGGATCTGGAAAAAATTATTCATTCCAGTTGTATTAATACCAGTAATTACAATCACATAATACGCTCAAGTTGTTGTTTGAAAATCCCTCCAAGAGTCTTACAAAAGACAAAACTTTAGCCTTTAGTCATTTATGATATATAAAAACGTTCACTATTTGACAAACAGTCTTCACTGGAAAAATTACTCTCGTGGCCTACATTGATACCATTTACTTCAGCTATATAAACAATTATATACTTGTATCCATCCCTCATGCAGAACCCACATATATTTGTAAAAATTATACAGCCTAAAAGAAAATTTTTTTGTTTTAATACGGCAAATAATCAATACGGCTCTTACCCAGGCACGTATAATACAGCACAAAACCCACATACATTAGTACTTTTTGCTGTACTACTTCAGCAATTTGTCAAGTGTTTATAAGTCAGAGCATGCAGTTTCCACTAAGAATTTGACAAACTAAGTAAAAAGTGCAAGATTATTAAGAATAAAAGCGATGCTAATCAAGATATGGTAATTAGTAAAACAACTGTGAAATTGAAAATTGAAAGAAAGGGGAACCTTACCTTCCATATACTACTCTCGGTCTAATCCTCCTGAGAAGAGTGGAAGTTTTTCCGGCAAAGATGGGTCTCACGATCACGTGAATTTCACCAGAAGAAGAATAAGCAGCAGCAGAAGTAGCTTCTGATTTCAAGCTTCATATCTGGCAATGCTGATGACTAGGTTGTGGGTTTAGCAGCCAAAAACCGAGGATTTTTTACTGGTGTTTTCAGGAGAAAAGATGGGCTTTTGAAGGGGTGGTGGTGGCAGAAAAGGGAATTTTGGAGAACCCGTTTGATTCTTGAAATCATCAGCATCTGGGAACACTGTTGAATTTGGTGGATTGTTTCTCAGGAGTGGAGCAGGGGAGGAGGGGAGGGGATAACTTGTTACAGGGGTATCGGGAAAGGGTTCGGGCTTTGGACTTTGGATCTGGGCTTTGGGCTCAATTAATAGTTATTGAATTTTAACGAAAAAAAAAATTAAAACGTGATATTTATGAAAAAAAAAAATAGTAATATAATAAAAGAAGAGACAGAAATTAGATAGGGAGTAAGACAAAAGATTCGTTGTAAAATTTTTACATGTTACAATTTGACGAGACGTTTGGTTTGTGGGTTTCTTGCTAAAGTATTAGTGCTAAAATTAATCATAGTAGTACTAATTATTTAGTTAATGTTAATCAAAATCAGTTAATGAATATATACTTATTGTTTAGTCAATGTTAATCAAAATCAATTAATAAGTATGATAGATTCGTTCTCTGAGTTTGTGATTAACTAGCTCATTTTGTTCAAATTTAGGGATTAATTTAGAGATTAATTTTTCCTATATTTACAGACTGTCAATTTTTTATGAATGACAACTATGTAAATTTTGAATTTGAAATTTAATTTTTGAATATGTGTCATGGATCCAACAGTGATAATGTATGCACTTTCGATGCATATAACATTTGCTCTTACTTTATTTGCAAATTCTAGACACCCATTGAATTGATTTGATTTGGTTCTTTGCAATAGTTTGTGCTATCCTCTTGTTTATGCAAAGATTATTCAAAACGTATAATGCAAAGATTGTTCTAGGAATTTCTTGGAACCATATAAATTAATTTTTTTTAATTGCTCTATGAATTTACTTCTTTCTTTATTGAATGTTTAGACTTTGGAGATGCCAAGGATTTTATGATGTTAACCATTGTAAGAAAACGGAGACCTCCTAAATAGGTGTTTTGAAGTTCCAGATATCTGAGTATTGGCAATTCCTATTTTTGTAGGGAGGGTCATAGGTTTGATGTGATAAAACAATTTGAAATTAGAAATAAGAATTTTTCTTATTATAATTTGTACCTTATCCCTGTGCACATACAGTATACATGAAAGGTGTTTTCCCATCTATTTTTCTTTTGCTAAAAATGAAGAAGGGAGAGAAGTCGAGGAAATAAGTTTGTGAGGGGATGTGGTGAACTTCTACCAGTGGCGGAGCCAGAAAAAATTTTCAGTGGGGGCAAAAATAATTTTAAAATTTTTTATCTACCCTTTTTTTAGTCTTTTAAGGAAAAAAATATTCACCAACAAATACAAATAATACATATATTTCATGAAAAACATCAAAAGACAAATTCAAAATTATTAATGTAATAATAAGTGCAAACTAAACCATTTACAATTGCTCGTGACAAGTTTTCATATTTTGATAACGGTTTACAACCTTTCATTTTGAACTTCACGAAATATATTTTTCTTAATATAAGTAACTAAACAATTATTCATCCAAGTATCTTCCATTCTATTTTGTAACCGATTCTTTACTATATTCATCATTGAAAAAACCTTTCTATGGTAGCTATAATAACAGTTAAAATCAAAGATAACTTTAAAAGCATATAAACCAATAGATACACAAAACTCTAGGGGGTACACTTGAAATTACATCAAATTTTTATAGGTATTATAGAAATTTAAGGGGACAGTGGGGACCTATAAACCAATAGATACACAAAACTCTAGGGATACAATTGAAATTACATCAAATTTTTATAACTATCATAGAAATTTAAGGGGGTAGTGGGACCCGCGCCCCCAGTATAAATCCGCCAATGACTTCTACTTCCTTTTCTGTTTATTCGTTTTCATCCTGTTAAATTTGTTTTATAATTTCTTCAATTTACAAAAATATTCAATACTACATATTAAAAAAAACACTTCTCGTATTTTCGTTAAACATATTAAAGAATTTGAAATGCTCTCATGATCATTTATGCACTCCACTCACACTTAATTATAATATGTCAATTTCAGTTGGATTCTTCTTTCTAACTTTCACCTATTACGCTAACAAGAGGGAATGTATTATTTCAATGTTTCCAAAATTTAGATAAAATAAAGTTAATTTTCGGCTAGAAGATACTGTGTACCAGAATTAGAACAACAGATTAAGACCACCAAAAATCTCAATCATGAGCAAATAAATTTAGACAATCACTCGGCTTCTTATATTAATATTCGATTTTAACATTTCGAACAACTAATACGGTAATTTGATTATCTTTAATTATCTTATGTACATTAAGAAATTTTTCCTGTGCTAATTTGCTAATGCGAAGTGTGTTTTTCCCCCCTCAGTTTGGTAGCTGCCTTGTTATTTACATACTAGCAAGGGCACAGATGAAATAATTGTGTTAACGGACATTTCTTTTAGGAATTTTGGTTGTTGCTTTTTAAGTATGGTCGATTAATTGTTCAATTACAACTACTGAAGGTTACATGGGATAGATCTTTGATTGAAAGCTACAGATCGGCGGACAAGCAAGCATTCAGCATATCGTGGACCTGGATTCCACACAGTCCATGGTGTTTTCACATCGGTATTCAACCCACAGTCACATATTGGAGGTATTGGATTTGATCTTGGCATCTTCTTCCTCGCTTCTTCTACCTTAAAGCTGCAAGAGAGAACTCTCTTTTGATTGAAGTAGATAAAGTTGGTGAGAGAAAGAGATTGTTATGTCCCTTTAATTTTGGTTCTGATGCTTCAATTATAGTTGGACAAAAATGCCTTTTGATTCCGGCTTGACTTATTGTTAAAATGACCAAAAGTCTTAAAACTATATACTTTTAATTGTTTAAAGGCCAATTAGAGACAACATTTAGATCAAGGGCCAAAACTTAACAACGATGATTAGTTTATGGGTTTTATAGGTTTTTAGCTCTTATTATTTAGATTATCACAAGTACAAGAAATTAAATTTACTACAAATATGGAATAAAAGTAGTAGAACTAACGATAGAGAGCTCCTAGGATCATGGAATTCCTAACTATTCTTGTAGGTGAAATTATTAGTTAAATGATTATTATTACCTTAACTAGTGATGACATAATTTTCAAATATACGTGATACACGCTTTTGCAAGTATACCAACCATATTTATAACTACTCCACATCTACTAATATGATATGAAACTAACTATAGATTCATTAGATTCTATGAAATTATATGAAATAAGCCACCAAGTCACAAAGGTGCAATCCTACATTAGTAAGTTAACTCCCCAAATTTAACAATTTCATGCACTAGTATTGAATCACAATGTTCATTGATTAAACACCTTTAAATAATCACAATTAATGGCCAATTAATCGTGATTGTTATAACAAAGGTACTAAATAACTCACTCAAGAAATAAGCTCAAATGGTCATCAGAAACTCACTTAACAATCATATAAGGCCATTCACACCCTAGGTTTACAAACTAGGTAAACATGAAAGACAAGAAAACAAGATCCATACTTATATAATAACTAAACATAAAAATCAATACAAGAAATAAACTGATAGAAGAGATGTTACCTTATCACTTGAATTCCAAACTCTCCATCTTTATTCTCAACTTCATATATGTCCAGCTATATACAACGATTGGATGAAACTAACTATGCTAAACTATATTGCACTAATGAACTAAAAAGTTTTAGTGAAAGATTATATTTTGTGTAGTTTCTCTAGCCTCCAAAGTTACCAAAATAAGCTCATAAGAAGCCTATTTATAAAATATTGATACTCCAAACAACTTGTTAAAGTCAATGCAAATCGCTCCTTGAAATTGCCAAAAGTTGATTCTGCAACTTTCCATGATTTCTTGGGCAATTCCCACCGAAATTTATTCAGAAAAGAGGTCCAAAAAGTTGTGTAAATAAGCTGCAAGTTAGAGTAAGTTATATAACAAAAATATGAAAATGAGGCATGGAAAACATGGGCTAGGTTACGTTTTAGGCCGCGATTTGTCCTACCCTGTAAGTTTGCACTTTTCTGATAATTATGGAAATTGCTTTGTTTTTGCACTAATTTGAAGTACAAATTTCTTGATGCAAAAAGATTGACTAACTTTTGTAGAAAATAAGAAATTGTAGATAATTGAATTTGCTTTCCAATGCATGAAGAATCATGTCAATTAGATCTTTGTAGACTAAGAAATGATAGAAATATCCTTAACTAGTCAGTACCCCATTCCAGATTTTGACAGTAAAAATGCACTTCTGTATTTCAGAATTTTGACCACGAAAACATATGAACTGGATTTTTATGTTTCATAAGAAATGTAGCTCTTTTTATTATCTTCAAAATGGTTCAATAATTATCTCAATTCAATACTTGTAACTCATGTTATAGCCGAAATACCAGAAGGTGTCAGAGCAACCAATCTTTTCTGCTGTTGATCTTATTTGCATTTTACACTTTAAACAATTTGTACTTCATGTTTACTTTAAATCATTTCAAATCATTAATAATCTTGCAAATATCATCTTACTTTACTTCATTTGACGATTGAACTATTAAAGTCTATAAAAACATGAAGTTTAAACCACTTAAAACTGTACAAATGTAATTTTCACACTTAAACCACAAAATTCAACATTCACTAGAACCCTCGTTATTTAACTATTAAAAAAACTAAAATACACCAAAAATTAAGTAATCAAACACACTAAAAAGATGCCAAATAAACACTTATCATTGAACTAGTGAGTTTTAATGAGAATTCGGAAGGCATTCAATTGTTGCCTAAGAAGGGGTTAGGTTTTGGGCCGTAAGAAATTGGTACCACAACTTTAGGTAGCTCAAAGCTAGCTTTGCTCCCCCTGACTATGGGCATGATATCTAGGACTAGATTTTAACCAAATCTTGGGAAACTAGCATGCTGTTGGATTGAAAAATAAAGATGATCTATGGTCGGAGGAGCTGGCGTAAGTTGTGGATAAGGCTGCAAACGAATCGAGCCGCTCGCGAGTGGATCGAGTCGAAATCGAGCTCGAACTCGAGCTCAAAATATTAAGCTCGTTAGCCGGCTCGCGAGCTCGAGTATATATA